TAGTGTTGGTTGCCAAAACTATTTTGAAGAAGCGAAAGTCAAAACTAAAATTAAAAGTTATATGTCAAAACTAAATCGAAAGTCAATAGTCAAAAATCAAAACTAGTTTCGACTTATGGCGAAACCCTTTGATTTTTGCACGGTTGCGAAACTCTCTAATTTTGGAAACCAACACTAATCACTATTATATAATTTCAATTCAAATAATTTTTACTCAAAATATTTATTATTCTATAATTAGGGTAACCTTATATATATATATATATATATATATATAAATTTCAATTTCAATTTTTACTTTCATCAACAATTTTTACTTTCGTCAACAATTTTTACTTTCGTCAAAATGGTCCTTGGTGAGAAACTACCTTTAGTCAGTACTTTCGTCACGTCAATGACTAAAGTCAAAAGTTTCGTCATACATCATTATATGGAATAAAGGGAAAAAGTTATTCCTCCAAATGTTAATAATAATAATCAGGTTGCCAATGGTTTTATCGACAACAAGTTCATATTACGAACTATGGAGTTTGTCTTGTTTCAAATAACACCTCAAATAAAAATATGGAAGTTTTAGGTGTGATGTTGGTATTAATAGATTTGTTGTGCGAGAAATTATTAACCAATTAAAATTTAATATATATTTGGAGAAGCGTCACAATGTGACAAAACACTAGTAAACGGAATTCCATACAAGCCCTGTTAAAACAGTCTAAAAATAAATATATAAATGAAAGAAGCAGTACAGTATTGATATTTGTTGCACCCCGTTTTAAAATAAAATACCAAATATAAACATTATTCATTTAGTTTTCTTGGTTAATTTTATAATTACTTTTTTTTTTTTTGAATTCGATCACTAAGATGTTTGTTTTTTTTAAAAAAATTTAAAAAACAAAAGGTGATTGGTGCATTTAAATTTAAAGATTTTAAAGTTTCTGGTCAATAATCATCATGTTGTAAATGGTAAACCGGAGCAATTTTCCTTCCAGGGTTTCAGATTAGATTGTATCTTAAATTATTAATTATATATTGTTGCAAAAAAAGAAAACATTATTACAAAAAAAAATTTTATTTAAACGGGTGGGGAAAACGAGGAAAATAAAATTTTTTTTATCATAATCATCTCAATAAATAAAATCTCACTCACTCACTTACAACATAATAAAATAATTTAAAAAAAAAAATGAATCCAAGTTATCCTGACAACTTTGGTAGCCCTTATTATTATCATATTATTCCTTCTCACTCAAACGACATAACAGGTTTATGCTCGGTACCTAATAACTCAACTAATCAAGGCTCCAGAGACAATATCATCAATTATGATAATAATAACATAATTCATGCAAACTCTGGATTCGGTTATCAAAGCATTGGTGACAACTATGTTTATGGTCCTAATCAACATATTAATATGACTCATAGCGACATCAATAATTACCATAATCCTTCTAACCCAAACTTTAATAACGATATGGTTCAAAATTCATCCAACATCATGGGAATTAATTGTCAGTATTCTCAAAATCCTAATGTTCTTAACCAAAGTTACTTCGATCCTAGAAACCCTTACAACAACAATAATCCTATCGTCACCAATAATAATTTTGTTGATCGAAATTTCATCAAGTCAGAGATCCAACATATGCTACAGATTCTGAATACGCTATATCAACTGTTAGATAACAATGGCATTCGTTAACAACAACAACAATCTTTATGTAATTTATTAAATTTATTATTTTTAGGCATTTTGTTGATATCATAATGTCGAACGATTCATCATAGTTCTCGAACGATTGATTGATTGATTTTTAGACCTTTTTTATTTTTAGATTTTTTTATTTTTAGAATTTTCATTTTATCCAAGTTTATTAATATTATTTATGTTTATTATTAATATTATTATTAGTGTACATAAATAATTATTTGCCTATTTGTATTTATTATTTATTTATTAATTAGAGTTAATATAGAAGGATTTAGAGTTTATTTATAGAATTAAATTGTTTAAATAAAATTATAGACATTTTGAAATTATTATACCAAATAAATATTATCTAAATTAATATAAGAATTATTGTACAGAGCTCCAAAATAATGCCCAAGTTCTTGTCAGTCCATCGTCTAATGGAGTCGATGGGTTATTTTGGAAAAATTGAAAAGCATCTACAGGATTAATTATCGCATAATTCATGTAAAGGATTGACTTCCAACTATCTGTAATCCCATCAACTATCGTTGCAAGTTTTTGTTGCCATTCTTGCGTTACCTAAAGTTATTTTATGAGGTTTTCATTGAAAATTATAAATGACCTCATTGAACATCACATAATAAACAAATTTTTTTTTACTTACAAAAGTTTTAGATCGTACAAATGGTAACATTGGTGTCATCGGTAACATTTGAATTCCATGAATACATTCTATTTTTAATAAATAGAATACCATTAATAAAAAATAATTACAATGTAACAAAACAACAACAACAACAACAATAATGACCTGTTCTAGGGCAAAAATAAGTGGTATAATCTGCTTTATTTTCAAACAAGATTCCGGTGACTTTATTTTTAATGAAATTCGATGGATGATTTTTATTATCATCTTCCAATAAGAAATAATTTCTAAGTGATCGTCTCAATATAGAAATAATTAAATTGGACAATTTCAATAATTGATCATTCTTGATTGTGATTGCCCATAATTTCATAGAGTAGTAGAAATTCAACTCCTCGCTGGTAGATTCTTCGTCTTTGCCATCTGCCGATGGAAAAATACCTTTTGACCACGAGTGTCCTGCATACCAATCAAACGACCTATACGTTGGAAAGAACGTGTCAAGTGGTGATGGGTTTACTACATCGCGTAACAAGGTGTTAACCCATGCTTGATTTTGTCGTCCCCATGCTTCGTCAAAATGGCTTATTATTGCTGATGTATATAAATAATATCCATAATGGTAATGATGATCACTAACATGACATAATTTTAAGTGAGAAATATGTGTGTTTATATACATTTTATTATCATTGAAAAAATAAGCATATTATTTTTAATTACATACTTGTACCAAGTGTTGCCGAAATCTTCAATTGGATTTTGTGAAGTGAAACCAGCATTACTAACTAGGCCTTTCCAAGTTGTCTCATAAACTAATTTTGTTTGTTGCTGATTGTTTAGATACGTATCCATTGTTTTCTATATAAACATAACAATAAATAAATATTTGATTTTCTTTCAAATATGATAAGCAATAAAAAATATTCTCAGTACCTTTAACTTGTCAAAACACTCGTTAAAAAGTGTTGGATCTTTTAAAACATCACTTATTACCAAACAAAGTGCAGCAAATTTGGCTAACGATTTACCTGAAAAATAAGTTGAATTGCTTGTTGTCTCAGTGTCGAAATCCAATGCTAAATCTATTTTAGCTTGATCCAAAATCACTTGTCGATTGGCATCGGAAAGTTTAGATTCCCAATCTGTTGGCAAGAATTCTGTACCACTAAATTCTGGTTCTTTTAATTGCCAAACGTTACCAACATATGCCAATAATTCTCCCTGGGCTGGTGAAGTCATTATTAGTTTTGTTGGTGATAACCCTGATAATGAATTATCGAATGATTCTTGATGATGTGGTAATGCAAATATTAATGGTTGTATTGTATTGTTACCGCCAACTTTCCAATTCAACGAATAAGTACCTCCGCTATAAATTAATTAATGAATTATAAATTATTATAAATATATACATCTCTTCATCTAAGCATCGTCACAATTATTTATTAGGGTAATTAATTACTTTTGTGGATCTACATCTATATCCAATTCAGCATCAATTGGAAAAACACTATGTTGTTGATCGTATAATGATTCTGCTTGGCCGTCATCACCTTTTGGCACTTTAGTGATCTGTATAATACCATCAAACAAATTATTGCCATTACCGTTGAGGGTGAGTTCCAATTTTTGTTGAGAAAGTTGCACTAATGTAGCTTTAGCATTATTTATATATATTAGCCAAGTAATATCATTCTCCAACACTACATGATATTTTATCCAACCAGTGGGAAGCTGTTGTGGTTGTTGATCAATTGTTTTAAAACCTATGCCTGAATAAAATACAGGCGACAATTGTTTATAGCTCACAGTGGTAAAAGACATTCCACGAGTAACCGGAAAATTTAAAGAGGGCGACGATGGATCTGCGTTGGTTTTAGTTGGGTAAAGATAAATATTTGTGGAGAATTGTGTCATGTCAGATAAGATTAATTGATTATCGCCGGCCAATTCATTTGCTGAAACAATTATACTAGGTGTATAAACGCTATAATAGTATTGTACTGGATCTGCTTTTGCATCTGGTCCAAAAACCTATTGATTTAAAAAAGCGTGAGCATTTGCGCATAATATGTATATGAATATTTTTTTCGTATATTATAATAAATGAGCTATTTTCAATCGAAGCAAGAAAAGTTGCTTTGAGCCAAGAGCACTTTTTATGTGCGTGTATCTCATCTCAAAGAACGTTACAAACGTCTCGTTTCTTTGGAAAAGACTATGATAATAATCAATAATACCTTTTCATCGTCGTCGACGTGAGAAATGGACAAACCAAAAAATCCATCAGTTTGACCGGGTTGATTATTTTCCCAACGTAATCCATATGGTAATGGCCAAATGGGATTTTGACCTTTGTCCAACATCATATTTACATACCATTTATTAGTTTCTATAGGTATAGATGTTGAACTGGTATCGATGTTAAAAGGTGGCTGAGTGTGTTCTTGTGTAGGAAATATTGGTGGTGGTGGATCAGTTGAAATTGGATCGAAAGGTGTTGGGTTTGCTAAAGATTTTAATGTGTCGCGTCGAACATCCATTGAAAATGTTAAAGATGTTGATAGGTTGATTATTAAAACAAAAATTATAATAACAAAAGAATATTTGATTTGTTGCATATTTGATTAAGGAATAAACGAATTGATTATATAATTAAGAGAACGTGAAAAGACAAAGAAAATATTTGTCTATTTATTTGCAATTACAATTATATGCATGTAAATCAATTGTTCGTATTGATAATAGCGTATGTTCTTAAGCATTTTCATGCAATAAATTTAAATATCGCAATATTAATTGGTAAAGATAAGTTTTATAGATTATTATAATAATTAAAGTTAAATTACCATTGCCTAGTGATGGTTGATTGTTATTCCGAATAATTGTTCATTAGTACGGTCACATATATGCTGTGCACGTTTGATCAACATCAATGCTCCAACTTTTGGAAATAAACATATACAGTAACTTTGTTGCGCAGTAGGTTTTAAATTACAATTCACTGCGCGGTAGCTTATTTTACATAATAATAACAATTGGCCAATTTTTAATTTTAATTGAAAGAAAATCATTACCAATTTTGTCAAGTAGTTCAAAAAAATATGGCAACACAAAAATTATTATTGTTCTGAACTTTTTTTTAAGCTTTAGAGTTGCACTGTATGCACTCCTTTATTTCTATAATTATTCTAATTATTCTTTATTCGCCATTAACAATTAATATTGACCAATCAACAATAAGTAATAAATTATTTTTTTGTTCTCTTTCCTACTTGCACATTTTCCAACTTCTTTCTTCTCATTTTTTTTTTTTTCAAAGAGGAAAATAATTTTTTAAATTTTTTAAAATTTTTTATTATTGAGGTAAATTTTTTAATTTATTATTGTTATAATTTTACTATTTACATGAATTATGAATACCGCAAGTATAAATATGAAAATGTACTTAATTTCTTAACTTAATAAAAAGAAACATGGAAGAAGATGGAAGTAAAAGCCCAACTGCTGCAAAGATAGCAGAAGAAATTCAAGCTAAAGCCGAAGAAGTTAAAAAGACCCTTAAACACGTAGAAACTAAAGAAAAAAACATCTTACCAACCGCTGAAGGTTAGTTATATATATATACTTGGAGGTTATTCACACATAGTTCAATATTTAGTTTATTTATAGTTGCTTATTTATTAATATGTTTAATTTTATTATATATGTATCTTTGTAGATATTGTCCAGGCTAAAAAAGAAGAAGACAAAACTGATGATAAATAAACAAATAACCAATTAAACAACAACAACCAACAACCAACTAACCAATTAATCAATCAATCGACCAACCAATAGACCAATCAATCAACCTTAATGATAATTACGTTTTTGTTTTATTTTAATTTCTTTTTTTTTATTTTATTATTAAAATTTTGTGATCTACAAAGTCTCATACAGCATAAATACGAATAATGTATTAATGTATTATTAATTTGCTCTCTAAAAATATTATGCATGTATAAAATTTTTTAATGATTTTTTGGATAAAAAACACATTTAATTTATAACTTAATTCCATAATCTATCTATTAGCATGAAGGTCTCTACAAAATGTTTCTATTGATATAAAAAAGCTTTTCATGTAATTAGTAAATTCGCTTTTAAATATCGAAGCCACACCACATATGCAAAAAAGTTTTTTCTTTTTTTCGTTAATTAAAACACCAAAATCTTGTTTATTTTTCTTCATTTGTACATCTCTATAAGCATTCTATATATATACATACATAAATACAAATGGCTTAGCAATCATTAATTAATATTATTACTGCTAACTATTATTATTTGAGATGAAAGTGAAGGAAGAAATATTTTAACAAGAATAAAATTGTATATTAATTATAGTAATAATAATAGTTAAATAGTAAAGAATATGGATAATGGATCAAAAGGTGAATTTTTGAGTAAAAATTAAAGATCTTCATTACGCATAGAATGAAATGATCAAAAATACTAACATCACCCCATCATACATAAAATAATGTAGCTAATAAAAAGAAAGTCAACAACAACAAGACAAAATCTTGTCATTTTCTCTCTTCCTGTTCCCTTTTTTCCTATTCCTCTTTCTATTTTCTCTTCTTCTTCCTCTGCTTTTTAATTTTTATTACTAAGGTTGATGCAAACGAATTGGAATTATTAGATTGTGGCGTTGATGGTGATGGCGAGTATTGTACTGATGAAAATTATGAAGTAACTGAATTTTTTGAAAAAGAATATGATCCATGTGAAAAGATACACTTGGATTATCTAAAAAAGCGAAAGCATGATCTAAAGTTAACTAGCAAATATCAGGATGTAAAAGATTGTTATTACAACTTTCCATATAATCATTATCTAGCAAAAGAGGTAATTTATATGCGATCGATCTTTGTTAAATAATAATGAATCAAGCATTTAATTTATTGTTACATTAACATCGTACGTTAATATATTTAGACAATAGAAACGTTGAAAAAAATTTTAGATGGATTTTATATTTTTCTAGAACAATCGAATGAACCCCCTGTTCCCGGGTTCAACTTTACTCCAACTAATCTTATAAACGATTTGAAGCTTATATCGAAAAAAAATTATACATACGATATTGATGTTATGGTTTGCAAACTTTTTAATTGATTGATTATAATTATAATTAAATTTTTTTCCTGGAAAGCATCCCTAATCAATTGTACTGGTGTTAATCATTTTAATAATTTTTAAAGATGGATCTTGTAAAATCTTTTTACAAGATAAGTGATGCACATTTGGCTTTTGTTCCAATTTGTTATACAAGTTTTGTGTTCGAACATGGTCTATCTTTATACTCTGTAATAAATGTAAATGGTACACAGGTAACAAACAAAATACTTGCTCTAAAATATTTCTATAATTTCTTCTAAGCTCCACGTCTAAATATTATCTTGTATATAGGTAATTAAAGTATTTGACGATATATATGACGCATCGAATATAGATTGTGAAGTTAGTCATATTGATGATGAGCCTGCGCTAGAAGTGTTGACCAATTACGCATACAAAAATGTTTTCAGATCTCGTGATCTAGGTGTAAGATTTAATAGAGTATTGTCCAATTTGGTCTATAAAGATGGACATTTTATTACCTCAAACTTCAACCAACTATTCACTCGTCGATCACTGCTACCAGAATCTCCAATCGTCACATACACTCTAAAATGTCATAGTTATGACGACAATCAATTAACCCTGGAAAAAAAAATTAAACGGCACTGGATAGCCATGAGCAGTAGATACGATGATTTTAAAGATTCGAAAAGTTATTGGGAAAATGTGTGCGTAAAGGCGAATCAGGACGAGATGATTGATGATGAAACGTTGGATAAAGTGCAAGAACTTACGCTAGCACGATCACACGACCATTACGATATTGGATATGGTGAGTTGGTTTATAAGGGTCAAATATCTGGTTATTATATGGTGGATGACATTGGTGTGGCTGTTGTTCCCGGTTTGAGTTCTGTAAATGGTATGACCGAGAAAGACATGATGGAAGAAATATTAAATGGTTTTCAAGTTTTAGAACAAGGTGGTGCTCAAAAGGTATTTATGTTTACATAGCATAAAATATATATGTCTGCGTTTTTTTTTATTTGACCATGAATGTTAATATGTATATATGTGATTTTTTTATTTCCTCGCCCACTCCAAAAATATTTTCAAGTTGGTGCTTGATTTTTCAAATAATAGAGGTGGAAGTGTAGCAGTAGCAAACTTTTTTAATGATTTGTTATTTCCAGAAACGCATCCAAATTTTCCAAACGATATGAAACTATCAAAACAAATTATGGCTGCATTTAAAGCTGCACATAGCTTTCCAGAACTTAAAATAATCTTTAGTACACAATATTTATTAGGCTACGACACCAAAAAACCTTTTAAAAATCTAAAAGAACTTTTCGGTAATAATTTGTCGCTTAGAGGAAATCAGAAAGTTAGATATACTTCGAAATTTATTGATTCGTATGTTGAAAAAACAATGAATGAAATTTTGCCGCCATCATCTTCATCCGACTTGAACGTTGATTTTGAAAATTATCATAAAAATTTTAAGAAATATTCGTCATCGATGCTACCATGGAATTCAACAAATATTATAATCATAACAAATGGAGTATGCGGATCATCATGCGCACTAATCACTCAACATTTATCAGAAGTTCATAATGTTAAAACTGTGGCAGTTGGTGGATTCGTGTCGCAGAAACTCTCGTACAGTTCATTTCCTGGTGGTGCTGTCTACAGTGAAAAGTTGTTACATAAAAGTTTGAAACGAATGGGTCTCTACTCAAATCCCATTTTTCCAATGCCTTTTCTTATCAAAGCCAAAATGAGTTTTCCCATCAGAGAAGTTTATAGCATCAAGCATAAAAATAAAGTATTGGATTTTTTGTTTCGTCCTGCAAATTATCGACTATATTATGACGAGAAAAATGTTAGAGATCCAAGTAAATTGTGGGTTGAAGCTGCTAAGTTTCTTTGAGTTATTGCATATATAGTTTAGTCTGGATTGGAAATTAATGAGTGGGTTGGATTTCAAGTGGATTAAAAGCGTGATTGTATTTATCTTTTGTGTTTAAATTTCTTGTATATTTGTTTGTAAAAAAATATTAATATTAAAATTGTTACATGTAAATTTTTTATAATATTTTCTGTAAATAAATTATTGTCAGGAAAAAAATCTTTTCTCATGCTAACTAATCTACTCCTGATTATCTATCTAACTTTCATTCCAGAAACTTCTTCATTAGTAACTTCAAGAATTCGCATTTTCACAGGTCCATAGCCGTATGCAAAGTACTTGTAGCAAGTATCCAGAGGTGTAAAAAAATGCCATCGACATAAGATCGTTGGATATTCCTATAGAGAAGGAAATTCCAAGTTTATCAGTCGGTCCGTATGGCTTCGAACACGATATTAATTCATACCTGAATCCCAGAACCATGATAGCACTTCTAATATGACTCATAGTTAACATCACACTATTATACCGGGATCCCAAGTGCAATATCACCATCACATTATGACCCTGCTCCTGAATGCACTTCCACAGCGAATCGCTCGACAACAGACGCGAGCCAACAATGGCTGGAGTAACACTTGTGAAAAATTAATATGAAGCTGGTTAAAGTAAAATGAATTTTTGTTGCGATCAAAGGTGCTCAGAACCTCTAGTTTAGCAACGGAATACTTCCACTCAATAAAGACATTAGAGTCATCAACGAAGAGACAAATAAGCCGCTTGATGGCTTCATTGCCCAATAGATCAGGTATATTTGATTTCTTTGATTTCTTTGATTAAGTTCTCGATTAAAGGAAGATCAAACTGGTGAACGAATCGTTTCAATGTACTTGTCAACGGGATTTAATTCTTTCTTTCTCTCTTGCAAAAAGCTAACAACATCATTACACCTCCATGGTTTGACTGTTTTGATTGATAGGAAACTAATGCGGACCGATTTTTTGGTAATATTAGATTCTATTTGAGTGTGGTATTTTGAACTATATAATATGCGTACAAGAAGTTTGTAAGATTGATTGCAGAATAAATAGAATCAAGCTCACAAATCTTTATCGGATGTTATAATCTCTGCTACGATCGTTCCTCTACTACATATTTGATATTTTATCATATCTGACAGTTTTTCATCGTTGAATAACAACAGAGTTATCAGAGTTATACTGTCTAAGGAAAGAAACAGCGTTAGTGTTGTGGATGTTAATGAGCATAAGAGCCTTCTTTGACGTAGTTACGAAATACCAGTACATGAGTTTTTAAAGTGAATTTGCTCATATGCTAGGATAAATAGAAAAGCCTGTATTTATTAGCAGCAAGTATTTTATTATTTAATAATTTTGAACATAAAATTTTCGAATTATTTTTCTTTTATCCCTTTATACTTTTCCAAAGGGTATATAAATGTATCTTCTAGGATTGCTTCACTGTACTAGAACTATTTTTTAAATGCTTGAAACGCCATCTCTCTCCTAAATCCTCCTAATCAACTCTCCATTCTTTAGAATTAATTTGATAATATATTAAATAGAACCTGAGCCTTTCATTGCTATTAAAATGACACGCAATGCAAAAAATATTCTATAGCATTCAAAATTACTCATTAATTCGAATTTATTTTTGCATTTTATAAGAAATAAATATAAATGAAAATAAATCAATCAATTGATTCATATAACATATTGAATAAAATAACATGGATCAATGAATCAGTGTTGTCAATAAATAAACAGGAAAAATGTATCATGGTTTTAAAATTATCAGATAAAATAAATTCCACCCGTAGAACTTGCATAAAGGCTAGTCCTGAAAAGAACAATACTTTGTTTTTTTTTTTAGGCGAAGAATATAATTAATCTTGATAATTTTAATCCTGATACTTTCCATGAAACGAACTCCCTTTATTTTATTAACATTTTTCAGATAGTTCGCAAGTTAAATAACCGTTGTTGCCGACACTGAACATGATTGCCGAGTAAATAAAAATCACCGAGATTTAAATTAATAATAAATGCTATGTATGATATGGCATTTACATGAGAAGTTACTTCTCTCCCTCATTAATGCAAATTTTTTTTTCGGTTTCCACTAATTCATCAAGGAAATCCGAGTTTATAACGTACTCTTTTAGAACTATTTCCAAAGAATTGAATCTAAGAGTGATAAGATCTGGATCTTTAGACTTTTCAAAATGTAATTGGTTTTTTTCGGTCAAAGGAATCACTGACAAATTTTTCAAAAGCTTTCTTTTTGATCTTGATTTATACTTGCAACAATAGGTTTGAAAGATTCCCCAAGGGCTCAGAAGTGATCCGCCTGTTTATTTAAAAATCAATTGTTATTTTATAGTTTATGATTAAAAAAGAATTAATAACTAACTTACCAAATAAAATAGTATAAATTCCTAACAGTAAGCTAATTGCACCTCCAAGTGGACCAATATTGCCCAAGACCTGAGAAAACAAAATTGTGTTTTTATATTTTAAGTTTGATATTTAACAAATATTACATAAACACTTACAGTTTCAGATCTATTAACGATAAAAAATTTGTTAGAAAAGTTCATATTAGTATAAAATAAAATATTCAAAAATTTATGCAATCACCTTTTCTCCGTTTCAACAGTTTCAAAATGTCCATTTACATCACCATATGGTGTAATAGCTATTGTAGTCTGATTTTCATAATAACTTGTTGAAGGTGCTTTTGAAATTAGAAAAGGTTAAATAAATCACAATGTATTTCAAAACTTTAAATAAGCCATATATAATCGAAATTTGTAGTTACTTTCGGCTATTGCTTGTGGGATACGAAGTGAAACATGACGATTAGGAAAACCTAAATAATTTGTCCAATCACGAATCAAGTATTCTCTTCTAATCCATTTAATATAAATAGCATTTCTCTAATTTTAAATTTATAAGTTGATCATATTAATGACAAAATATCAAAATATTAACCATTGGTGGGTGTATTTAAATGGATACCTTTTTTTCACGAATATATAGAATGTTATTAGTTTGGAGATAACTTATGTATTTTTGAAGGTTAGTTTGATCTGGATATGCCTCTTTGATATCATCTAATTCTATTTTGCTTGACAGAATATAACAACAATTAATTTATTAAATTAAAGTATGTGTGATTTTAATAGCTTTATAGTTACCTCCACCAAAGGTAATATTACTGAATTTATTTCCAGAAGTATTATTCCAAGTAAGGAACAACCAACTATAAGAATTATTAGCAGGAGTAAATTTATAATTTCTATAACTTTTATAGGCGACCAATTCAAGATTGGTGGAACAATTTTCTAAGAAATAGGTTTATTAATGTCAAATTAAACAATTAAAATTTTAAAAGCTGTCATTAGAGGTATACTACCAAGATCATCAGTTCCGTCATTCGTAAAGTCGCAATTTATCATTGCATTTGATGCTACCTTGATATTTAATACTTTTAAAATAACAAGAAAATAAATAATTTTGCTAAAAAAAAAATCCCAACAATTTAAATAATAATAATTCACTAACATATAGTACCTGGAAGTAGTTGTTGTGAGTCTAAATCAACAGTAGTATATTGAATTGAAGGCTCATCCCTTACAATCAAATCGATTAAAATATATATATACGCAATTAATCCACTTAAAAGGATTATTGAAACAACAACTTTAGTCCACCATAATAACGTTGGTTCAGTCTTTCTGTGTCTTGGTAGTGTAAAATTCAAAACGACAAATAGACAATTATTCATTATTCTTTTGTTAATAAACATTTTCAAATATAAAATAATATAAGCAGAATCAATGTACGAAAATTTATAAAAGTAACTAGGAAAATGGAGACCTTTATATTTTTTGCATTCATGAAATTCAGAATATACATTTGATAATGGTTACGCATATCAAAACTAAAAAAGGACCGGGAAAACATTATGATTCGAAGGTACTTTAAAAGACCGGCCTTTTATTGAAGGAAAAATTGTCCTCGGTTACACTATATATAAATAAAAAAAAATTTACCTCATATATACCAAAAAAAATTGAGTAAAAATAGAATTTTTTATCATGCCCACAACATTTTACCACAGTCAACGCTCGATATAGTAAACTTACTATTTAGTGAATCGTATGATATAATGAAATTGGGAAATGATATAGTGAAGTTTTTGCCAAAAATCAATTCTTCCTTATATCAATCGCTGACTGTAAATACCCTAAACTTTCAAGAATTTGTCAATGCTAAAAAGTTATTTGCAAATGTGGTCAAATTATTTCACTTGGAGTTAATTATCAAGTTGCAAACTTTAAAAGACATTCAGAGAGTAATAATAGGATTTTGAGATCGTTTATCTATCAAGGTTCATCTTCCAGTATCACAACAGTATTTTTTATGTGAGAATTTGGCAGGAAGAGACATTACAATTCATATTACACCACAGAAATAGTTTATTTTTTAGGATTACGTTTTTACTTAATATTAATGACATTATTCTTTGTTGATTGCAGTATATGATGAAACATTTTTAATCTATACTCATTTTAGTATGTCAAGTACATAAAACTTGTAAATATTTTAATTAATATAGATAAATTTCATATATATCCTATCATCATGGAGATTATTATATTATTTATAACAAATAATAGCTTTAATAAAAAATGGATCTTGATAATAATAATAAAAAGATAATGGCTGACATATTTATATTAAATATAAAAAAACAAAGCTTTAGACAAAAAAATTTATTGTTTAAAAGGTTTTTTGTAAAAAAAAACCCATATTCTATATGTTTAGTGCAAATAAAATAAACTCCTCTGTTTTTTAATATTTCAATTTTATTGAAATCTGAGGTTTATTTTACCAAATAAAAAAAAAGAATTTGGGAGAGTTTGGTTTTGGTTTTGGTTTTAGGTTTGGTTTTGTGGAACCGGTTTAAACGGTTTTTTGAACGTCACCATTATTAAAATACCAAGAAAGGCAATGACTTTCAAACAACGTCCAATCATAAAAAAATAATTACTTGTGTCACATTTTGAAGGTTCGAACTCTGTTGTATATGACCGCCAAATTAAATGACAAATCATATTAATACGAATCTTGGTTTTTTATAATTATGCGAATCAATTTTCCGAACACATTTAAAAAATTAATAATAATGCGAATCAAAATAATCAAGGACATATAAAACTTAATATTAATGACATTAATCCTTGTTTGACGATGAAACAATTTTAATTTATACCTATTTTAGTATGTCAAGTACACAAATCTTCCTTTAATTAATAAAGATAAGTAAAAACGTAATTCCAAAAAACAAACTATTTCTTGTGGTGTAATATGACTTGTAATGTCTCTTCCTATCAAATTTTCACATAAAAAATACCATTGCGATATTGGAAGATAAACCTTGATATGATAAACGATCTTAAAATCCTATTACATAAGGAATTCTTTTACTATTTTTGCTCCTTTTTTTTTTTTTTGGTATGATCAAATACCAAAATAATATAATTTTTTATTAATAATGCGAATTATAGTGTAACCGATGACATTTTTCATTTTTCTATATTTGCGAATTCAATGTAACCGAGAACGTTTTTTCCTTCGAATTATATAAAAGCGGTGGGTGACCTTTTCCATTTTCCATTAATCGAATCTATAGTGGAGCGATCACAATTTTTGTTTTTAAAGCATTTTCGAATCGGTCACATTCAATGGAGTTTTCCCGGTTCTGCTTGAACAATTCCAAAAACCAAATCAAAGAAAACCAGGGGTTGGTTTCAAAACCGAGTTCAAACCGTTTGTTAGTGAAACCGCCCATCCCTAGTGTCAATTGAGCAGATTTTCGTCAATTTTTACTATGTTTTATAATTATAATAGATTTCTATGCATGATCGGTGAAACACGAGTCAATAATTTTTTTAGATGTATTCAAAAAATCGATCCGCTTAATAATAATAATTATGAAAAACCAAGTTTCGTATTTCGTATATATTAATAATATGATTTTGACATTCCTGCATTTAATTTGGCGGTCGTACAATAGAGTTTTCTCAAATCTGATTTTGATATATATGTGTGACCCTTAATGCAATCACTATGAATAGTTCCATATTAATAATAATTGTTTTGTAGCTACACGAAATGTCAATCTATTGGTTATAGCAACAATTGGTCAGCTTCAAATTACAAAGAAAAAAGTTTTATTGTTCGTCGATTAATTTTTTTTAATAATATATATTATTATTTTAAATATCAATTCTTCCGCTAAGCGAAGACAGTAAGTAAGCGGAGACGATAAAAAAAGTCGAATTCAAAAGAATAATTTGCAAGCTTTTTTATACTAAACAAAAATGCAAAGCTAAGCTAGAAGGAAATAAGTTTATTAATTAAAGATAATCCAATAAAATAAATTGACAAAATAAATTGATGCAAAATTGATTGATTGATTAATGTATAACGTAAATGGCTAATTAATTAATTGGTCTAATTTTATGATTTTATCTATTTTTATCCAGATCCGGAGTCCCTAAAGCTTTATCAATTAAGTCCTTTAAAAAAAAAATTGAAAAAGATAAATTTGAAAGAGAAAGGAATAAAAGAAAAACATATCGAGAATCTCTTCTGCCAAAGCCTTGAAAATCTCTTTTTGCTGAGCCTTGGCATTTTGAAAGTTAAAATTTTGTTCAACCCTAGACGATATACACGTGAATCTGTCCGAAATAAATACTATATTAATATATACTGTATAAATTATCTCAATCATAACCACATCTGATTAAATCTTGATTAAAGCAATAATTTTTTAAATAGTGATACCACTTATAACATTTGTATATATCTAGGTGTTTTATTTCTATGTTAAATTCCCTCTACTGGGAAATCATAATTACGTTTGTTATTTTATTGTTGGTTGCGTTTGAAATTGGAATCACTTCCGTTCAACTTATTGTAGAGTGTTTGAAGTGTATGACCCCTTTTTAAGAATAGAGTTGGTACGTTAGTTGCATTAGCTTTACAAACTATGATTAAAAAAATTATAATGTTATATTTTAAATTATAAATGCGACTTTTCATTTAGGGTTTCTATTTGAATAAGATTTATTCAAATTATCATTATTTATTTTATTCGAATAGAACTATAATTTGAATAAAAATTTGCATTACGAATAGAACTCTCTAACTATGACTTTTATCCTGCCATGATGTATTGTGTTTTGTTTTTTGAGCAAATGTATGTTTTTTTGTCATTCTAAGTAATGCATGTGGACCCATCTTAACTAAATGTCAATGCCACTAAATTCTCCTTCCATTAAAATTACAGATGTAAAATGAATGTCAAGAGAAATTTTTTCAGCCAGATAAACTTTATCTGGCCAACATCACTACTTTTACACTCTTTATTTTTCTCATTTGGTTTTCGATTTAATAGAATTTACGATATTACATATTTGATATATCTGTCAATATTACATTGTTAAACAGCAGTAGTATTATACTATCCAAGAAAAGAAACAGGGTTAGATGGTTTTGTTGTTGTGGATATTAATATGAGCATAAGAGCCCTCTTTAACGTAGTTACAAAGTACCAGCATTTTTTTGTACATGAGTTTGAATCTGCTCATGCTGGGATAAATAGAAACCTGTCTTTATCAGCAGCAAATTTTTTATTATTGAACATAAAATTTTCGGATTATTTTTCTTTTGTCCCTTTATAATTTTGCAATGTAGCTTCTAGGATTGATTCATTGTACTCTTTACCAAATGCTTAAAATTCCTCTCTTCTAACTCTTTCGAATTATTTTGATAGTATATTAAATAGAGCCTGAGCTTTCTATTGACATGTTTTATGACTGTGAAATAGCTTAATTTAAATCTACTATTAAATATTTTAAATTCAAAATTACTCCACGTCATAATTTCATATCTGTGAATTTATTTAAGTGGGATTTTTTGCATTTCATAAGAAATAAATATAAAATGAAAACCAATCAATTTATCCATATAAAATAACATAGATCAATGGATTACTGTTGTTAGTAAATAAACAGGAAAAAGCACTTTGGTTTTAAATTTATTAGATAAAGTAAATTCCACTCATAGAATTTGTATAAAGGCTAGTCCCGAATTAATTTTTTTAGAAGAATATAATTAATCTTGATGACTTTAATACTGATACATTGCATGAAACAAACTCCTTTTATTTTATTTAAAAAAGTTATTATAATGGAGAATTCAAGTTAAATAACCATTGTTGCTGACACTGAACATGATTGCCAAGTAAATAAAAATCTCTGAGATTTCAATCAACAAGAGTTTTTTTATCTATTACTCTCATCAATACCAATATCAATTTTTTCAGTCTCCAATTCATCAAGGAAATCTGCGTTTATAATATACTCTCTTAGAATTGTTTCCAAAGAATTGAGTCTAAGAGAGATAATTTTTAGATCTTCATAATATAATTGGTTTTTTTCGGTCAAAGGAATCACTGGCAAATTTTTCAAAAGCTTTCTTTTTGATCTTGACTTATACTTGCAACAATAGTTTTGAAAGATTCCCCAAGGGCTCAGGAGTGATCCACCTGTTTATTTAAAAATCAATTGTTATTTATTTTACAGTTATGATTATTTATTTAAAAAAGAGTTAATAAACTTACCAAATAAAATAGCATAAATTCCTAACAGTAAGCTAATTGCACCTCCAAGTGGACCAATATTGTTCAAGACCTGAGTAAACAAAATTGTGTTTAAATGTCAAATACATTTTAAGTTTATTACATAACACTTACAGTTTCAGATCTATTAACGATAAAAAAAAAATCATTAGAAAATTTATATTAGTATAAAATAAAATATTCAGAAATTTATGCAATCACCTTTTTTCTGTTTCAACAGTTTCAAAAGGATTATCTGCAAAATCATCATATTGTGAAATATATACTGTAGTCTGATTTTCATAATAACTTGTTCTAGGTGCTTTTGAAATTAGAAAAGGTTAAATAAATCACTATGTATTTCAAAACTTTAAATAAGCCATATATAATCGAAATTTGTAGTTACTTAAGATTATTGGTTCTGCAATATGAAGTGAAACATAACGATTAGGAAAACCTAAATAATTTGTCCAATCACGAATTAAGTATTTTCTTCTAGTCCATTTAATAGAAAAATAATTTTTCTAATTTTAAATTATAAGTTGATCATATTAACAAATTTATTACAAAATATCAAAATATCAAAATATCAAAATATTAACTATTGATGTATTTAAATGGATACCTTGTTTTCTTGAATAGACACTCGGTTACTATGGAGATAACTTATGTATTTTTGAAGGTTAGTTTGACCTGGATAATTATCTCTGATATCATCTAACTCTATTTTGTTTGACAGAATATAATAACAATTAATCATTAAATTAATGTATGTGATTTTAAAAGCTTTATAGTTACCGCCTCCATCAAATACAATAGTACTAGTGGCATTTCCAGTATAATTCCAATCAAGGATCAACGCACTGCTATTATTAGTAGGAGTAAATTTGTAATATCTAAAACTTCCACTGTCAAAAACCAATTCAAAATTGGAACAATTTTCTAGAAATAGTTTTATTAATGCCAAATTAAACAATTAAATTTTTAAAAAGCTGATATACATACCTTTCTTAAAATGAAAATCACCACCATCATCATTAATAGGCATGAAGGTAGCGCAATCTATTGTTACATTTTGAACAAACATACCAAACCTAAATGCTTTTAAAATAATAAGAAAAAAAAATTTTGCTAAAAAAAAAATTCCAAACAATTTACATTTCAATTAGATAATAATCATTCACTAACATACAGTACCTGGAAGTGGTTGTTGTGAATCTAACTTAGTAGTAGAATATTGAATTGAAGGATCATCCTTTATAATCAAATCAATTAAAACATATATATACACAATTAATCCGCTTAAAAGGATTATTGAAACAACAACTTTAGTCCACCATAATAACGTTGGTTCAGTCTTTTTGTGTCTTGGTAGTGTAAAATTCAACATTATAAGGATTTTTTTAAGATTATTCATTATTCTTTTACTAATAAACATTTTCAAATGATAGTAATAGTTTCAGAATCAGTGGATAAAAGTAACAAAGAAAAGGGCGACCTTTATATTCTTTGCATTCATGAAATTCATGAATATTCATTTAGGTTTACACATATGAAAACAGCTAAAAAAGGACCGGGGAAAACTTTATTGAATGTGACTGCTAATACTATGATTCGAAAGCGCTTTGAAAAAAATTGTGATCACTTCACTATAGATTCGGTTAATAGAAAATAGAAAAGGTCACCGATTTTATTATTAATATAATTCGAAGGAAAAAATGTCATCGGTTCGTAAATATAGAGAGAATGAAAAATGTCATCGGTTACACTATTAATATTGAATGTCGCCTTTCCTTTTTTTAAAGATACTTTCGAATCATAGTATTGGCGGTGATATATATACAATAGAGTTTTCCCGATCCTATTATTAATAAAAAAAATTTTATCTCTTATTATTTTTATTATTTTGGTACTAAAAAAAAAAGAGTAAAAATAGTAAAAGAACTCTTTATGATTCATGCCAACAATATTTTACTGCATATCCTAACTTGTCAATGACAAAAAAGTTATTTGCGAATGTGGTCAAGTTGCAAACTTTAAAAGACATTCTGGGAGTAATAATAGGATTTTGAGATCGTTTATCATATATTGCTATCAAGGTTTTATCTTCCAGTATCACAACGATATTTTTTTGTGTATTACTACTCTAATATTAATGACACCATCCTTGTTTGATTGCAGTATATAGATGATGAAACATTTTTAATTTATACTCATTTTAGTATGTCAAGTACACAAAACTTCCTTGTAATTATTTTTCATTTAATTTTAATTTGGCGGTACAATAGAGTTTTAATATGTGTGACCGACCCCCTTTAATGGATGTTCAAGTGTTTTTATATACGTACCAAATTTGGAATTTTCTAAATATTGCAATGATTGACGTTCTAGAAATTTATCGATGCGTTGAAACCTGGCGAGAGCTTTATTAAATAGTCATATCACTCCCAAAATTATACAATTTGTGCATTTTTAACTTTTCTACAAGCTTACCCAGGATTAAGCAATATCAGAGATGCTATTTTTCAACTAATATCAATAATAATTTTTATTCCTTTAAAAATATTCTGAAGATGTTATTAAATAATTTATCAGGCTGCCATTCATCAGAATAATACACTTTATTTAATTTTTGAATTTAAATAAAAATAGTGTCTTGATAATTTCATCAGAAATAAGGATGTTAGCCGAAATGGATTTTGAAAAAAACAATTTCGGCAAGCAATTTCGGATTTACAATATTCTTTATATCTGTAGGCATAAAATACTACCCAGAATTTCAACTATTTAGTTAGATTAATTTCGGCATCTATGAAAAACTATTTCAGCATTTCGGATCAGGTGATGATCATTTATTAAGAGAGCCAATTTCGGCTAACATGCTTAATCGGAAATATAAATTTTTTTACCAATTAATTCTATATATCATTATCATTGTTAAATAATAAAGGATGCATAAATTTCAAATTCCATACAGTAAAAATAAATGATGATTCCAATAATTCTAACACATTGAAACTACCTATTATAAAATAATATATTTGGAGTTTTCTTATTATTATGCTTACATTTCATACCAAACTACTTTAGTGCTCCATGTTGCAATACAAAAAAAAGGAAACAAGGTAATTGCAAAAGCAGTTATGACTAGGTGTTGCAATCATTTTTATATGATGCAAAGGTGGTTAGAACTACCACCAAAGTTGCAGCCAGTATCCACAAACATGGCATCAACTGGCTTTCTGGACATTTGTTTGCAATATCTTCATACAAAACATAATGGTCTAATGTTTACTGTTACTAACTGTTAGAAATTAAAAAAAGAGATTTTAGGCTGATAATTTCCTATATGTATGAAAAAAGCTAGTATGTAAAGTTGCGTGGATTCCAGTAGATTCTTGAAATATATTATATTTGGAAGAATTTATTTTGATTATTATTATCAGAAATTTTTTTAAAAAAAATTTCTTTCACAAAGCACAACATGTCATATTAAATCGTTTACCCTATATATAAAAAATTTTTTTACGGAAAGTCCTACAAAATGTAAGGAACTGCGGGATGTGTAAGGAAAGTCCTACAAAATGCAAGGAAATTTGCATTTTTCCGTACATGAAAAAAATTACAGAATGTAAGGAAAAATGCGAATTTCCTTGCATTTTGTAGGACTTTCCTTACACATCCCGCAGTTCCTTACATTTTGTAGGACTTTCCGTAAAAAATTTTTTATAGGGTTATATAATAAATAAATATAAAAAATGTCCAGACAAGTACAGCACAACCAATCAATTGGTTATAGCAACAATTGGTTAACTTCAAAATACTGAAAGAAAAACTTTTATTGTTTGTCAGCTAGTTTTTTTTGAACTAAAAATTGGCTGAGCCTTGGCATTTTAAAAATTAAAATTTTATTCAACCCTAGACAAAATACCATAAAATTGAATCATAAATATTATATTAATATATACCGTATCATATCAACAGATTTGGTTTTTTAGGCCCTTTTTTCAAACCTTATGTCATTGTGTCTCAACGTTAAACACAAGTATTTTTAATGTGTAAACTGGTCAGTAGAATGATAGTGAGTCTATACAGGTTCTGTATTTCGTACATCTAACAAAAATATGGGAATCAAAGATCATACAGACAATCAACTTTTCTATTTTAATTTCAGAATTCATTCCGTACAAAATTAAAAAATAAAAATAAAAAATGTACAGAACAAAAAAAAATAGTGTATGGAATTGAAAGTTGTACGGAATCTCTACTGACTGAATGATAGTTAACCCTAAAAAAATTTATTTGCTCCACTAAAAATCTATTTTACTATTCAACAGTCCGTCAAACCAATGGGGTTTTGTATATTGTACTGAATTTTGAGGCTTAAACAAAATCAGTGCATATGTAAATTATCTCAATCATAGCCACATCTGATTAAATCTTGATTAAAGCAATAATTTTTTAAATAGTGATGCCACTTATAACATTTGTATATATCTAGATGTTTGGAGATCATAATTACATTTGTTGTTTTATTGTTGATAAAATCTAAATACTATCTATATGTTGCGCTTGAAGTTGGAATTGCTTCTATTTCAACTTAGTGTTGGCACAAAAGAATCGGACACCCTAAATGTGTTAATTACACAAAAACATACATAATAAGTGTATATTAGTTTATAGCTTAGGTTCTGAAGATTATGTACTTAAAACCTTATGTCACTCAATCCCTAGAACTTAAGCAATTAAAAATAAAACATGATCATTTTTGACAATTTCTCTAAAGGCTATATAATAACATGTTTTGAAATTTATACATATGATGATTCAAGATTCTCTGATTCTCGTGATAGATTTTTTTTTTACATTTTCTTGTTTAAAATTTTTTTTGACAAATTTTTTGAAGATTTCGATAATTTTAAATTTTTTTTTTTGATTTAACCAGTGAACATTGGTATTACCAAGGATTTCAGGGATCAAAATTTAGTCCCATTTGTTACCTTAAGTGATATATAGAATTATCCCTATATAAAAATAGTAATATGAAGCTTGTTTACATCAGATCTAATATGGAACCCAAGAATTATAGTACTATCAGAAGTATTCTAAAAAAGGAACAAGGTGAGAAAATTGCTCCTTATATTTCAAAATAAATGATACTCAGGCATTGGAAGCTTATCTAAGAAAAGAAAGGATTACTTATGAAATTTATCAAGAAGAAAGAAAAATAATAAACATTAAGGAAGGAAAGCAGAGTGGTCAGTTAGTAAATCATGAAGTAATTCCTAATTATTATTTTAATTGACAACTTTACATAGGAAAAAGGCACTATGCTTTAATACTGTAAAACATATTTTTTTTATTTTACGTTATGAAAGCAAAGGTGTAAAGAATATTGAGAACAAAGAAGTTTGCTTTTAGTGATGTAGAAATGAGTGAAGTTTTTTTATAAGAAAACATCAGTTAAATTCAATAAGTTATCTTTTTAAGATCCTACATTCTACATAGTCCTCAACCAATTTTTTATCAATATTTTAAATTTGAGCAACTTCTTGGGTAATTCTTAAATTAGGATTTTTAAAGGGTGTGCCTGCTGTTGGGCATAACCACTCACTATAAACTTGATGGGGAGGTGTTGTATAGGAATCTTCTAAATAACTTATGGCATTTTCTTGTAGATTTAAATTTTGTGTCAGTTGACATATTTTTAAAATAGATATCAAAATTTTAAAGGTACAATTATAGAAACAACCTTTGTACTCATAAGTAATTGGTGTATTCTCATTACATCCTCAAGATATTGCACTGACTTTGGTATTTGACATTTAGATATATACCAGGCATATAAAGTTCCATAATAAATACACATAAATTAAAACCATTAATAAGAATGATGATTTTTTTTGTTTCATCTGGTTTTAAACTCTTATTTTTTCTTATATCAATAGCATCTTTTGCATGGATCCCTGCCCTGTAAATATCCCAATATGGTTTTATTTTGCAATTTTGTTTGCAAGGACCTGTTATTTCTGTAAAAATACTAGTTTTTATTCCATCTTGGTTACTGGAAAGTCTAGAAAGATAGCATCCCCTTTTTATATATGTGTAACATTTTTTTTATATTGACGCTCAATTGTTTTAAAGTAGGGGGTGCTATCTTTCCAGACTTTACAGTATGTAACATAAAATCAGGCATTCTACCATTACATCCACCTTGTCTTTCCTTTGAGGGTTTTGATTGAACTGAGATCCTGCAAAATAAATAAATGTAAGCCATAAATTCTCATTTTATTATTGTAGCAATTAACTAAGAATGTATATATTAAAATACCATGAGAATGAAGTTATATAATTAAAAAAATTTATTGTACTATTGAATATTGGTCCAATTTGATTAATGATGTACATTGGTTCAGGGCTTTTCTCTAAGTTTGAAGTACTATCCCAAAGAACATATTCATCTAATAGTTTAAAGAAGGTTCAGTTGATCAAATTGGATTGACATTTCCCACGTTCTCTAATTATAATCTGTTGTATTTCATCTATACTATCCATCTTAAATTTCTAACAAAATTTACAAAACATTCATGAGAATAACTTCAATCAAATATAAAATATAATATAAAATTTAACAAACCCTCTTATTATCTGTAACAAATTGTTTAATTTCCTCTGTGATTCCAATAAATTCAAATTTAGACATCATATGAGATTTCAATTCACTAAATTCATGATCTGTCAAGAGATCTTGGTTTTTGTTTTGTCCCTCAAAATAAAAAACAGATAAAATATTCAGCAAACTTTGTATATTTTCTTTTGTAGGATAATTTACTCCATGAATCAATTTCTCTATATTTCTTAGTTTCCATTGTTGCAACTTGATATGTAATCTGTCATCAGAATTATCAATGCTTTCCTTAACAATTTTTCTATCATCTCTAAATCCAAATCTTTAAATACCGATTTGTATTCGTCATCAATTTCTTCCTAAATAATAATAATAAAAAGGTTATTTGTGTACTTAAAATAAAGTAAATTATTTCGCTTTTTGGAAGAGAATACAACATGTTTACATTTAATGAAAGTGATGATCTTGTCTCATTAATAGTTTCTTGTGATGATGATATCTCTGTTGTTGTTGTTTGCAATTCTGTTATTTCCTGATGACCAGTAATTGAAGTAACAGTGGTAGCAGCAATAATTGATTGTGGTAATGGAGATTGCAAGGGAGAAATCGTAGAATCACTAACATATAAAGGATTCATACTGCCAAAATCTGACAACAGAGAAGGTGTAAAACAAGTATTGTCCTTTTTGTAAATTAAAATAAAATGAATTTAAAATTAATTATAGAGGATTAAACCATTTTTTTAGTAGCATTTGCGGCAGTGGATTTAAATGTACGAAAGAACTAACTTACATTGTTAACAGCAACAGTAGAGGCAATGGTAGTGGAGGATGAAAGATCTATTCAATATAAAATTATATAAATCGAATAATAAATAATATTAAAATGTCCTAAACTTATATATAATAAAAATACCAGTAGTAACATTTGCTTTTTTCGTTTCATTTAGACTAAAGACACAAATACAAGTCAGTCATTTTAAAAAAAGGGAGAAATTTGTTTTAGTTAATCAATAGAACTAGAGTGACGACAAGTGGCGATAACCACCATTCTTATGATAAATGTTTACCCAGCCAATTATTTATCATTTTTTTGTTGTTTTCGTTTTTTTTGCTGACATTGTTGTGACATTTTTAATCTTTAAAAAAAAAAAAGGAATTGTCATTTGATTAATTATTTATGCAATTTTTTTT